GACGAGAGAGGCCGAGCTCTCAGATGAGTGGTTCCAGTGAAACTCGCTCACAGCCTGTGTGTCATGGAAAGTTCCCATTTCCATGCTCACTGCACAGGTCCTGCTCCTTCTGTCTCACCAGAGTTCATGGATGCCCTTGGGCACTTTCATTCATCTTTTAGCAGGATCTGTTTCACCCTCGTGGGTCCCTGACTATCACACCAATGAGTCAATAATGTTCACTTGTTCCAAGTCCTGTTGTTTAAATCCCATCTCCAGCTCTGTTCTGGGCAAGTTTCTAAGGAAACCTCCGTGTCTTGGAGTGATTGAATTAGAGAGAATGTTACAGCATATGCACTCTCGTTTCTCCCTTTCGGTGTGTTTCCCACATGGAATAGCTGCTTTGAAAATCAAAAGATAAAATTTCCACTCTGTCCTCTGCCAGCTACCCTCTTTCTAGAGAGACACCATAAGCTGCACCTGCTTTCCCTTGGGAAGATCGAGGCATAAATTCAAGGCAAAATTTCTTTAGTGTGAAGGCTAGGGTTAGGGCTGCTCCCGCCCATGCTGCTGGCTGGAGCAAGTCTGCACCCCCTTCCTGACACCAGCATCCCCCATCCTTTCCTTCTGAGGATGTCTTTGCCCATTTCCCTGGGGGGGTGGCTTTGTAGGGCTGTGACCCACATCCTTTGGATTGGTTGGGACTCAGCTGTAGCCAGTGCCTCGGCTACTTATCGTGGGACAAAGACACATCGCATAGTTAAAAGAAAATTGCTCTTCTTTTTCTTTTTTGAAACAGCTTTGTTGACATATAACTGCCATGCCGTGTAATCCACCCATTTTCAGTGTACGATTCAGTGGTTTGTGGGATATTCACAGAGCTGTGCAACCATCCCCACAATAGTAGAACATGTTCATCCCCTCGAAATGAGACCCTGTACCCGTGAGCAGTCACTCTCCATTCCCCCATCCCCATGGCCCTAGGCAACCCCTCAACTACTCTTGTCTCTCTCTGTCTATTTTGGACATTTCATATACACGGAATAATACAATACAGGTCCTTTGATGGCTCCTTTAATGTAGGATGTTTCAAAGTTCATCCGCATTTATAATACATGTCAGTAATTGATTCTCTTTTATGCCAAATAATATTCTGTTGTCTGGATATACCATGTTTTGTTTATCCACTAACCAGTGGAGGGGTATTTGGGTTGTTTCCAACTTTTGGCTCTTGTGAATCCTGACGCTATGAACATTCGTGTTCAAACTTTTCATATGTTTCCATTTCTCTTGGGTACAAACCTGGGAGTGGAAGTGTGGCGTCGTATGGAAACTGCGTCTAGATTTTGAAGAGCTGCCGGGCTGTTTTCCAAAGGCTGCACCATGTTTTATTTCAAGCCAGCAACGTATGAGGATTCGAATTTCTGCCCATCCTTGTCGACACTTCTTACTGTCTACCTTTTAAATTACCACCGTCCTAGTGGATGGGCAGTGATATCTTGATTGTGGCTTTGATTTGCTTTTCCCTTCTGAATAAGGATCTTGAGCATTTTGCCTGTGCCTTTTGGCCTCTTGTGTATCTTCTTTGGAGAAATGTCTGTTTAGCTCCTTTACCCATTTTTAAGTTGAGTTATTAGTTTCTTTATTATTTATTTATTTTTATATTCTTTATTTTTTATTTATATTTATTGAGTTAATGATAGGTTACAACTGTGAAAATTTCAGTTGTACATTATTGTTTATCATTCGTGTTGTAGGTGCACCACTTCACCCTTTGTGCCCACCCCCCACCCCACCTTTCCCGTGGTAGCCACTAATCTGTTCTCTTTGTCCATCTTTTTAAATTCCTCATATGAGTGGAGTCATACAGAGATTATCCTCCTCTAACTGGCTTATTTCACCTAACATAATTCCCTCAAGGTCCATCCATGTTATTGCAAATGGAATGATTTTGTTCTGCTTTGCGGCTGAGTAGTATTCCATTGTATATATATACCACATCTTCTTTATCCAATCATCTGTTGATGGGCACTTAGGTTGCTTCCATGTCTTGGCTATTGTAAATAATGCTGCAATGAACATTGGGGTGCATAGGACTTTGGAATTGCTGACTTCAAGCTCTTTGGATAGATACCCAGTAGTGGGATGGCTGGATCGTATGGTAGTTCTATTTTTAATTTTTTGAGGAATCTCCATACTGTTTTCCATAGTGGCTGCACCAGTTTGCATTCCCACCAGCAGTGGATGAGGGTTCCTTTTTCTCCACAACCTCTCCAACATTCGTTACTATTAGATTTAGATATTTTTGTCATTCTAATGGGTGTAAGGTGATATCTTAGTGTAGTTTTGATTTGTAATTCCCTGATGATCAGCGATGATGAACCTCTTTTCATGTGCCTGTTGGCCATCCATATATCTTCTTTGGAGAAATGTCTGTTCATGTCTCCAGCCCACTTTTGGATCGGGTTGTTTGATTTTTTGTTGTTGAGCTGTGAGTGTTCTTTATATTATGGATATTAAGCCTTTGTCAGATATATGACTTGCAAATACTTTTTCCCAGTTGGTTGGTTGTTTTTCTGATTCAATCCTGTTTTCATTTGCCTTGAAGAAGCTCTTTAGTCTGATGAAGTCCCACTTCTTTATTTTTTCTGTTGTTTCCCTTCTCTGAGAAGACATGGTGTCCGAAAAGATCCTTTTACTACTGATGTCAAAGAATGTACTGCCTACGTTTTCTTCTAGAAGCCTTATGGTTTCAGGTCTCACCTTTAGGTCTTTGATCCATTTTGAGTTTATTTTGGTGAATGGTGAAAAAGAATGGTCCATTTTCATTCATTTACATATGGCTTTCCAGTTTTCCCAGCGCCATTTATTGAAAAGACGTTCTTTTCTCCATTGTATGCTCTTTCCTTGACTCTCTGTCGAGAGCTTTTGTGATTCCAGCCGCTCTCTGCCTCAGACATGGTGCCCTCTGCGTGTGCAGTCATCTAAACAGTGCAGGGTCTGGAACCGTGGAGAATCTAAGGCAGTACGGTCATGCTTTGCTTAACAGTGGGGCTAAGTTGTGAGGAGTGTGTCATGGTCAGGCAATCTCGTGATCGTGCAAGCACCATGGAGTTCATAAACCTAGATGGCAGAGCCTCCTACACACCTAGGCTCCATGGGACCAATCTTATGGGACCCCCGTTGTTGACCGAAACGTCCTGATGTAGGGCATGACTGTACTTGCCAACTCCAAGGGCACGGAAGTGTAGTCTGTGGGGCTCTTTCAAAGAACGGAGACGCTCGAGGCCTACTCTGGACCCACTGACTCAGAATCTACTGGGATAGTTCCCGGCTTTAAAGACCAGACATAGTCCTCATCTGCAGACATCTCCTCAATGGTTTTTCACGCTGGGTTTTCCCTCATCTGAAAAAATCAGGCCAAGAGATTGTGAGGATCCATAATTAGTGTTTTAATACATTTGGCAGGACTCAGTGTTTTGCACGTTCTGTGATACTGGGATCTGCGTCTTCACTGTAACGTGTTAAACCTTTAAATCTTGTGCAAAAGTCATGTCATTACCTAGAGAATCCTTCTGTGAATGGCAGGCAGATTGCCATCTTTCTGTTTCCGCCTCCTCAGCTTTAAAATGGGGAGAATAACGGTTACCTGCCTTTTGGATGTGAGGATTAAAGGAGACAGTTGGTGCAAAGCAGTTGGCACAGGATCTGGCACAAAGTGAAGCCTTCAATAAATTATGATTACAGTAGTTTTGATTTCCCTCCAGTCGGAATAGAGTTTAGTTGAAGTTAGTGGCTATGTCACAGCTGTGTCTCAGGCTGGTGTCTGCCGCCCTGAGCTAAGCCATACAAATCCCTAGAATAACTTTTCAAAAGCCTGTTAGCCTCTTGAGGCTCCTACACTTCTTTATTTTATTTTATTTTATTGCAGTAACAGTGGATTCTAACATTATGTAGCTTTCAGATGTACGTTGTAATATATTTCGAATTCTGTGTAGATTACATCGTGTTCACCACCCAAAAACTAATTATAGTCCGTCACCTCACATGTGAGCCTCATCACCCCTTTGGCTCTCTCCCCTCCCCCCTCCCCCTATGGTAACCACCAATCCAATCTCCGTTGCTCTGTGTGTGTTTGTCCTTGTTTTTATCTTCTGCTTATGAGTGAGATCACACGGTGTTTGACTTTCTCCCTCTGGTTTATGTCACTTCACATAATACCCTCCGGGTCCATCCACGTTGTCACAAATGGCCGGATCTCATCATTTCTTAGGGCTGGGTAGCATTCCATTGTGTATACATACCACGTCTTCTTTATCCGTTCTTCCCTTGATGGGCACCTAGGTTGCTTCCAAGTTCTGGCTGTTGTGAATAATGCTGCAGTGAACCTAGGGGTGCATGTGTCTTTCTGCATTGGTGTTTGCAAGTTCTTTGGATAAATACCCAGCAGTGGGCTAGCTGGATCGTATATACGGTAGATGTATTCTTAGTTTTCCGAGGATACTCCATACTGCTTTCCATAGTGGCTGCACCAGTCTGCACTCCCACCAGCGGTGTAGGAGAGTTCCCTTGTCTCCACATCCTCTCCGACACTTGTCTCTTGTCTCGTTAATTAGAGCCATTCTGAGCAGAGTAAGGTGACCTCTCCTTGTAGTTTTGATTTGCATTTCTCTGGTGGCTAATGATGTCGAGCACCTTTCCATGGGCCTGTTGGCCATCCGTTAAGTCTTCTTTGGAGAAATCACTGCTCAGATCTTTTGCCCGTCTTTTTAATTGGGTTGTTGATTTTTGTTGTTGTTGAGCTGTATGAGTTCTTTCTGTATTTTGGCTATAAACCCCTTATCCGATATATGGTTTGCAAGTATCTTCTCCCAGTGGTTAGGTTGTGTTTTGGTTTTGTGGAGGGTTTCCTTTGCCGTGCAGAAGATTTTTTTTACTTTGATGTGGTCCCATTTGTTCCTTTTGTGTTTGGTTTGCATTGCCCAGTCAGACGTGGTACTTGAAAATAGGCTGCTAAGACTGCTGTCAAAGAGCATACTGCCTATGTTTTCTTGTAGGCGTTGCATGGTTTCGGGTGTGACATTGAAGTCAAACCCGAGGAGGCTGCAGTTCCCCGAGAGCGAGCGTAGCGGGGACCCTGCGTCCCTGTCAGCGCACCTTGCCGCTCCGCGGAGGTCCGAAGCAGCTTGTGGGCAGGGCCCAGGAGTTCTCCCAGGAGGGTGTCCCTGTCGCTGTCCGCAGTCCAGCGCCGGAGGGGGGACGGGGCAGCGGCCGGGGAGCGTGTGGGCGGCGGCGCGCGCGGGGAGCGCGCGCGCGGCTGCTGGGCCACCGTCCGGGGAGGTGTCGGCGAGCCGCGCCAGCCTGGCCAGAGCCGAGCCCGGCGGAGTCCGGCCGCGCTCTGCTGCTCTCCCCCGGGCCGGGCTCGTCCGTTCCCCCGGCGTCCGTGTCCCCGCTGGGCACAGCAGCCCGGGCCCTGCACAGCCATGGCCGCTAGCCTGAAGGAGGACCCTCCTTGAGCTCCCGCTCTTCCTGCTCGCCGGACACGGACGAACCAGGGCGCCTGCGAAGATGATTGCATCTGGGAGAGGTACCTGGGGGCGTGGGCCTGGGGGCTGGTGGGAGGCGAGCGTGTGGAATGAGGAAAGTCACTCAATAGGGACAGGTGAAAGTGCCCTGCCAGCAGTGAGGATCCAGCTGCAGTTCAATACTGTGAATGTGTACTTTTATCAGTGTGCCTGGTTGTGTTAATTCTCCACCAGTACAGAGCAACCTAGATGAAGGAAGAAAGACGAAAGATGGTTGGAAAGAGTCAAACATAAAATTTTTAGGATGACTATGTAGAAGGACCTAAGTAGAAAGACTTTGAGCGTCTGGTGAGAGTACTTAAAGGGATTGACCATGAAAGTTTGGCAGAAATGGATGCAAAGCCATGAAAGATCAGGAAGAAAGAAGTGTGGAAGGTTAAGGTAGAAGAGCAGTTGTCCTTTTCAGGAGTAAGGAACTGAGGGGTCTTGAAGGAAAGGAGTGAAGAATCTGCTTATGGGATCTGTGTATGTGTTCTAGATCGGGTATCAGCAAAATCCCTGTAAATGGCCAGATAGTAAATATCTGTGGCTTTGCAGGCCTTGTGGATTCTGTTAGTACTTCTCATCTCTGCCCTTGAAACTTGAAGGCAGTCATAGACAATAAGTAAACGAGTGGGCCTGGCTGTGTTCCAGTAAAACTTTATTTTCAAAAACAGGTGGTAGTCTGGATTTGTCTAGTTTGGTGACCCCTGTTCTAGATGATAACAATTTCCAGGATGTGGACATAGTTAAGTGGAAGTGAAGACTGTTAGAAACCAAGGGGTTAAGATTCTTTAAGATTAGTGTATTGACTATAAACTGTCTATATCTATCATATCTAGAGGACACTCCACCACCAACAGAATATACATTCTTCTTAAGTGCTCAAGGAATATTCTCCAGGAAAGATCATATGCCAGGCCATAAAATGAGCCTCAATAAATTTAAGAAGGGCTGAAATCATACAAAGTATGTTCTCTGATCACAATGAAGTGAAAATAGACATCACTAACAGAAAGAAATTTGAGAAATTCACAAATATGTGAAAATTAAGTAACACTTCTCAATCCAATGATCGAAGAAGAAATCACAAGGGAAATTAGAAAGTAGTTTGAGATGAATGAAAATGAAAACACACCATACCAAATATGGGATGCAACTAAAGCAGTGGTAAGAGGGAAATTTATAGCTATAAATGCCTACATTAAAAAAGAAGAAAGTTTAAAAAAAGAAGAAAGATATCAAATCAAAAACCTAAACATCTACCTTAAGACAGTGGACGTGTAAGAGAAAGAAGTGGCGGTAATCACAAGGGTCTGAAATGGCCTAAGGAGATGGAATGGAATGAAAGCCCAGATAGAAAAGTTGGAAAAAAGTTGGAAAAGTTAGGTAAGAAGAACAGTTTGTCTTTGTAACTGGACCATAGGAAAGTAGGATGGTTTATATGTTTTTGCTATAGAATTATTAAGTTCCCATCTGTACCACTTTCATCTATTTTCTCTGTCAAGCTGAAGTCAATGTCATTTGCAGAGCTTAAAGAGAAATGCAGCATTGGAGGTTTGAAGAATAGTCCTTGTGTAGGGTGGCTGAAATACTCCTTGTATGGAGTCGACTAGAGAAAACCATTAAGAATTTCAGGCTGTTGAGGATCCTTTTGAGGCTGGTAGTAGTGTATTACAGGGGACTACTGATCTGCTCTGTTGTGTGATTCCTTCAGCTGCATTTGTGTATGTGGGTGAAGGCACAGGAAAGGCAAATGTTTGCATAAATATATGGCTAGGATTTTTGCTAGATGGGTGAGATGGAAAGATAAATGGGCAGGGAAATTTAGGATGTTGAAATGATGGGCCATGGTCAATAAGCTAGATAAGGATGGAAGTAAAGAAAGGAAAAGCTACTGAAGGGGGAGCAAATAGAGGGATCAACTAACCGGAGGTCACCAGGAGGTTTAATATACAAATCAGCTCCACAAGGGCAGGGAATCTGTTTTGTTCACTAATGTGTCCCAGCCCCTGGAATAGTGCCTGGCACACAGTAAGTGTGAAATATTTGCATTTGTTGAATGAATGATCATGGCAGAGTAGGGGTCATCTAATATGAAGCCGGGAGAATGGGGAGCTGTAGTCAGAGTTGCATGTTTGCATGAGTGATGGCGGAGGCGAAGCGTTATAGATCACACCTCGTGTGTCTGACACGCACATATAGCATGTTCTCAGTACCTTTTAGCTTTTGTCATTATGTTTTTTGGCCTTTTATAGGAATTACTTATTTTTAAAGAAATAAAGTAGAGTCATATCTCTGCAAGAGTGGGTGAGTTGACCTTTCCAAAATAAGTATCATTTAAAGCCATTGGAGCATTCAAGGTTGATAGATTCCACCTTGTACCGGCAGACTAAACAAACAAAATACTACTAGGACTTATCTTCCTTTCCAAATTAGCCTCATCTACTTCTCAAAGCCAGAAGCTCAGAGTACTTCTAGCACTTTCTATTGTTTTGTTTATTTTGCTTATCACAGTGCGTGTGGTCAGCTTTATATTTACGGTGCTGTATCACCTCTCTTAAGTACGTTGACCTTTCACGAGGCTTTGAAAGGCCTCTTTTTTGCTTTTAGTGTAGGGCTGAAGTCTCCTTTAAAAATAGGGATGGCTGTTTGCAAAAGAAAAGTTCACAGAAGAAGGCTGAAATGATAATAGTCTAATTTTTAAACAATACCAGTGTTTTTCCATTTAGCTAAAGGAATCAGAGAAGTATGTTGATTTTGAGGAATCATGTCTTTTTTGGGTAACTTTCAGCGGTTCTTACCCTGTTTCTCCATAGTATAGTTACTTGTACACAGTGGATATTTAAGAAGTCTGTACTGGCTGATCCTTAACTGTAAAATAAGCAGTTCTCTGAAATGCCCTTGCCTCTGCCTCTTTGCCTGGTGAATTTCTTTCATGATCCAGTTCAAATATCACCACTGAAATTACCCCCACTCTTACAGGAAACGAACAGGCCTCTGTCCCTAGAGTAGTTGGTAAGTATTTTCTAGTGCGCTGACATCGTTTCCTTGTGTCTCTCTTTCTCATCCTCACCTTTTCTCTACCAAGGAGCAGGGACTTTGGTTTATTCATCTTAGTGTCTCCAGTGCCTTGCATGTGCCTGCCATGTATGTGCGGTGCTCCAGAATTGTCTAGCAAATGAGGTGGCAGCAAGAAAACTCATTCTACAAGCATGCTGTAGGCTTAGATAGGAAAACTCTGCCCTCTAAAGGATTTTGCCTCTTTAGAATTTTTCTGCAGTCAAGATACTGCTGCTAGGTGAATGATTAATCTATTAATCAATGATTAATTGATTATGGCCCCATGATCTAACCTGTAGATGTAATTAACTTAGAGAAAAGTTAGCCTTTTTTCCTACACCAGCTTCTTTTAAATTAAGCATAACACATAGGTGATACTCAATAGATATTTGTTAAGGTACAGATGTCCACCAAGATGTTAACCATGAGCGTTATTTGGGGGGTGGTATTTTTGTTTTTTAACTTTCTTCTTTAGATAGAATTTTTTCATTATTTGAATTTTCCAGTTCAGGATACATATATATTGTCCATTTTTAAAAGATATGGTACATGACAGAGACAATTAAGAGAAATAAATGCTTTTGTATAATTTGGAACCAGTCAGCTGGGCATGGTGGGCCAGTTCATTCTTTGGTAACAAATCTCAGTGGCATAGGAAAGCAAGTATTTATTTGCTACAGGTGGATGGGGGTTCTTCTGCATCCAGTGTCTCAGATCCAAGCCTTTTCCATCTCCAAGTGGCTTCTGAAGTTACTGCAGCCAGAGGAGGGAGAGACGGAAGAGACCTGCCAGCTCTCACCTGCCTTGGCACATGTCACTTTGCCATCGCCAAAACTAGTCCCGTGCGTGGCCTCAAGCTGATTGCAAAGTAGAATGGAAAATGCAGAGGAGCACCAATAGTCTCTGCTAACATGACTGTGACTCTTTCATTTTCCAGTTACTGTGATGAATGTATGTTGGATCCAGACTGCGGTTTCTGCTACAAAATGAACAAATCAACCGTCATTGACTCTTCATGTGTTCCAGTTAATAAGGCATCTACAAATGCGGCAGCCTGGGGCAGGTATGTCACTCATTACACACCATAAGAATATACAATCAAATTTCAGCATGACACAATTTTAAACTTACAGAGTGACTGCACTTGAAGTCCATGACGACACTTCTTTTAAGCTGGTCTTCAGAACGACATTATTTTGCAGCATGTACTGATGAAAGTAGGTACAAAACATTGCAGCTGTATGTTTCATAAACTAAGAGTAGAAAGCACTCAAGCCTAGACTTCAGGAAATCCAGATTCCAGACCCACCTCTGCCCTAAGCTATAGGAATTTGGATCTTGAGGCTGGTGTTCCTAAATATTGCCAAGGCAATTTCTCCTGCTGTGTATTGTTTAACTACACCAGTAATTTTCAAAGTCCCAAACTTAAGTGAAAGACCGAAAATTGTCAAGTCAGAATCAATTAATCTCATTTTAAATTCTTTGATGGAACTATTGTTTTGTTAAAATACTTTCCTGGAGTTTAAT